TTTCTTAGAATAAAACATGCTTATGGTATATGGTTAGAAAATTTTCTTCACGTAAAACAAAAATCACAAGGTTTCCAAGATCAATTGCAAAAAATTTCAAACGAAATTTTATCATGAACTTTCGGTTCTATATGTAAATTAGAGTTATTTTAATAAATAAATAAAAATTGGATCTTATAATCATATATGCATAGCTCTGATATCAAATAAAGAAGATAATTTTTAACTCATTAGTCAAAACCAAGAACATGAATGAAAAAATGTTAATGCATGGAGGACTAGTATAATTTTAGATATGTGGAGAGTTGTTGCTAAGTAATTTTGAATGTTTGTTAAAAATTATGTAATGTTTTATTGATTGAGAAAATTATATTAGGTTTTATTTTTTTTATTAATGTAATTGCATTTCTTTGTTATTTTTTTATTGACTCTTGTAATTTTGAATGTTTGTTAAAAATTCATATGATTTTTTAAAATCTTATAAATCCACATTGTCCTTTCAAATCTTATAAATTCTATTAAAATCCTTTAAAATCTAATCTTATGAAATGTTGATTGTAAAAAATGTCTTTTAAAAAAGTCTTTGTTGAGATATGTAGTCCCACATTGGTTGTATGTGCAACTAATGTAGAGTTTATAAGGCCTTGGGCACTCCCACCCTTTGAGCTAGCTTTTGGAGTGGTGTATCCCAAGGTTCTTTACATTATCCCAATGTTCTTTACATGGTATCAGAGCCTCGTGTCCCGGGTTCAATCTTCGCCGCCCCCCACTTTCTTTCAAGTGGAATTTCTTTGTTCGCACAGGTAGGTGGGCCTGTGCATTGTCCACTCTTCAAGCCCAATGGGCTCTTGTGTGAGGGGGCGTGTTGAGATATGTAGTCCCACATTGGTTATGTGTGCAACTAATGTGGAGTTTATAAGGCCTTGGGCATTCCCACCCTTTGAGCTAGCTTTTGGAGTGGTGTATCCCAAGTTTCTTTACATTATCCCAAGGTTCTTTACAGTCTTTAGAGTCTGTCCAATTCAAAATAGTCTTTTAAAATCTATATAATTTTTTATCTCAAAAAAACCTTTCAAAATCCTAATCCAATATACCCCCTTAATTTCTTCTTCTTCTTCTTCTTTCATCTGTTTTCGATTATGGTTTTCTTCTAACCTTTTTTTTCTTATTCGCACTCACCACCCGGAACCCAGCCATTCTGCGACAAGGTACGATGTTTCGCTCCTTTCTCAAAATTTTACGGATACATGTTCTTGAAATATGCATTGGTAATTATATTGTCCGCTAGGAAAAAAATTGATTTACATTTTTGTACTTTGTAAAAGAGAAATTTTTTGTCTTTGCTAACCATAATTGTCTATTGGGTGGTTAACAGAAGTTGCTGTCATTCGCAGCTTGATGATATATTAAATTGGGTCTATTATATAGACCAAGATTTACAATTGGTTACATCAGGAAATCAGCTAAACTTAAGGAACAGAAAGCATAAATCAAGCTAATCTATTTACATCAGGAAATCAGCTAAACTTAAGGAACAGAAAGCATAAATCATGCTAATCTATTTACATCAGGAAATCAGCTAAAACTAAGGAACAGAAAGCATAAATCAAGCTAATCTATTTTAATATACAAGGTAACAAACCGTGATAGTTACAATCAGGATCCTAACAAATTAATGCTACTCTAATACTCCCCCTCAAGGTGGAGCATGGAGGGAGGAGATGCCCAACTTGGAAGTCAAAAAATCGAATTGTTTGGATCCAAGTGCTTTGGTCATAATATCTGCGGGTTGAGAACTAGTGGGGATATGTTGAGTAGAAATAGTCTTGCTGAGAAGATAGTCCCGAACAAAATGGCAATCTAACTCGATATGCTTGGTACGCTCATGGAACACTGGATTAGAAGCAATATGAATAGCAGACTGACTGTCACAAAACAGTTGCATAGGGGCTGCATGAGGAATATCAAGAGAGCTGAGAAAAGACTTTAACCAAATAAGCTCAGAAGTCGCAGCTGCCATGGCACGGTATTCAGCTTCAGCAGAGGAGCGGGATATTGTGTTTTGCTTCTTGGTTTTCCAAGAAATAGGAGAATGTCCAAGAGTAACAAAATAACCAGTGACTGATTTTCGAGTCAAGGGACAACTAGCCCAATCCGAATCAGAATAGGCACGAAGAAGAAGATCACTGTCAGATCGAAGAAGGAGTCCTTGGCCAGGATTGGACTTAATGTACCGAAGAACACGAATAGCCGCATCGTAATGTATCTGCATAGGATGCTGCAAAAACTGAGAAAGTGTGTGAACTGCATAACTAAGTTCTGGTCGTGTAATCGTGAGATATACAAGACGGCCAACAATACGTCTATAACGTTTAGGATCATCAAACGGAGGTCCTTCAGCAAGAGCAAGCTTGTGATTGGGATCCATAGGATAAGCAACCGGTTTACAACTTTGAAGTCCACATTCCTTAAGAATATCCAAAGCAAATTTGCGTTGAGTAAGAAACAAACCGGTCTTGCTTCGAGCAAATTCAATGCCAAGAAAATACTTGAGGGGACCAAGATCTTTGATTTTAAACCAGGTTTGTAAATGAGCTTTGACACGGTCACAGAGAGAAGGATCACTACCTGCCAACAAAATATCATCTACATAGACAAGTATAGCAACATAATGGGAACCAGTCGAGTAAGTGAACAACGTATAATCAGCACGAGACTGAACAAAGCCGAAACTGAGGAGAGAACTACGAAGCTTAGCAAACCAATTTCGTGGGGATTGCTTGAGACCATAAAGTGAACGTTGAAGCTTACAGGCGTGACCAGACTTGGTTTGGGAGAAACCGGGAGGAAAACGCATAAAGACTTCTTCATCCAAATCGCCATGGAGAAAGGCATTTTGAACATCCAGCTGAAAAATGCTCCATTTTCGAGCTACAGCTACAGATAAAAATGTACGCACACTTGTCATTTTAGCCACCGGTGCAAAAGTCTCAGTGTAATCTTCTCCTTCGATCTGATTGTTCCCAGCAATAACCAGACGCGCTTTATAGCGTTCAATGGTTCCATCAGAATTGTACTTGATGCGGTACACCCACTTACATGGAATAAAAAGGGAGAGGTTGAATTTGCCAAGTATGATTGGCTTCCAATGCATCAATTTCGGCTTGCATGGCTTTCTGCCAATGAGGATATTGCATAGCCTCTTTAAATGATTTGGGTTCCAGGTTACTATTTTGGTGCGAAGAAAATAATGCATTAGAAACATAATGATCAATGGAATATTGAATACCTGAGTCGATTGGAGAAGTGGAGAGACGAGGAAAGGGTGTAGTCATTGTGTTGCATACATAATCCTTTAAATGAGATGGGGGATTGGCACGCTGTTCACGAATATCTGCCACAGATGCAGTGTTGGGTTCTGTCAACGGAACCGGTGAACCAGGGACATCCGTGGATGAAGTAATAGAACCCGGAACTGGGGAGGACGAACTCCCCCTGTTTTAACATGAGTGAAATTCATGCCCTTTTTTTATTTCCAACTTATTTTTTGTGTCGTTGTATTTATAGATTTTATTCCTTTTGAAAAATGGAGTGTTGTTTTATGTTTAACTTTTTTAAAAAAATATATATTTTAATGCAGAGCTACAGTTGCTATTGGTAATAGAATTGAATTGTTTCTTGATGTTATTTGTATTTGATTTCACAATAGGAATGAGAATTTTGGCGATTAATCAGTGAAAACTGTTAAAGAGAAAAATCAATGAAGATATATGTGTAAATATGGAGTATGAAATTTTTTTTTTTTTTTTTTTTTTGGAGTTACCCAACCCTAATTATCTCTTTGAGACGAGTTGGCTCCCTCCGGTATCCCCACGAGCTTCGACTCTTTGAGCCGGCTATGGGACTAATCCGGAGTACGGGGGAACAGTAAGTATGAAAATTTCTTGTACATATTCATTAACAACTTCTTTGTCTTTTTGTATTTTTAAAATTTTTAAACTATCTAAACACTAATTAAATGATTTATGTGGATCCAATGTCATTTAAATGATTTTAGACATTTGTTACTGATTGGTCCATATTTTTTTTTAATTGTGAAGTTTACTGTTCCTCTAAGTTGATGTTCTTCAAAGGTCACGACTAGGAGTATAAATGGGCCAAGTTAGGCCAAACTTTGGCTTTGATAGCCTAAGTCCATGTAAAATATTTAGAGCCTATATTAGCCTATTAACCTACTAAAGACTTGATTTATAGGTTTGACTTGACCTATTATAAAAGACTAAAAAACTTAATACGACATGTAAGGCCTACAAAGTTGCAAACTAAAGTTTATAGGCGCAAACCAAATTAAAAGATAAAAGATAAAAAAAATTCGGGTTCGTTTTTTTACAGTCAATGTAGATAACTTATCTACAGTTAGCACAAAACGATATCGTTTTGAGGCGAAAATTAAAGTATTTTTATAATTATAATTTATTTCAGGGTTATAATAGTCTTTTCATTATAATTTTTTAATTTTTTAACTCAAAACGATATCGTTTTGGGAACGAATGCAAATAACTTATCTACATTCACTTTAGAAACATTAAAGTCAAAAATTTATTCACAAAGATCACCTAAAATAAATTTTCATTAAGATAAGATGATTTGAAGCGTATAAGGCCTTTACCCTAAACGTTAAAGTACTGAGCATATTCCTTTTTCAATGTTAGATGCTTGATTTGAACCTTCCCGTTGATAACCATTTAACACAAAGATTAAGTTTCATCATACCCTTAATTGGAGCGTATAAGGCACGCGCAAGTGATTAGAGAATTAACTAGTGTCACGTGATAATTATGCGCGTGGGGATATCAATTCCCTGTGGCATTTATTCCCCAATTGCCTTTGATCTCTCTATCTGTGAAGAAGAAGAAGGGTTTCATCATACGCATGGCCACCGAAGTTCTCCGAAAATTTCTACTGTTGTCAGTGTCTATCCACCCGTTTATACAATTCACTCGCTTTGTTCCAGAAGCTTCTTCCTTCAGCTGATAAAGGGTTAATCTCAGTTTCCATCATTTCTATATCAATTCCATTATTTCATTGCTTCTGATTCATTTTCATTTTTTCACAACTGTAATATGCTACTGATGTTTGAAAAAATCCAATCTTTTAAGTTTATGAATGACGGGTCTTAGTGAAAAATACCCAAAAGTTTGGAAATTTGAAGGTTCTAGAAACTGGACAACTTAAAGTTGTTTTTTTGTTGTTGTGTGGAGAATTGGACTGTTGTTTTCATTATATTGTGTTGGGAGTTGATTACTAAACGATGTGAACGAGTCTGAATTGCAATGTCTGATGTGGGTTTATGAAATGTACTGATTTATTATACTTGTGGTATATGTTGATTTTAGTGTGGTAAATGTTGTGGATTGTAATTTACTTGTGATGTTCAGTGATGTTTTTGCTTTCTGATTTCAATTTTTGTTTTTCATTTTTTTATTATATTCTTTGCATTTACATGTAAATAATCGATTAAACCCTTTTGGGCACTTTATCTTGCTAAGGTAGCAGGAATTTTTAGGTACTTCTCGAGCATCTTTTTTTTCCCAATTTACCTAACCGAATACTTTTCATTATAGTTGCAGTAATGCATTATAAACTTAGTAGATTAACATCTATACCCCAATGGCAATGGTATTCATACAACTGGAGATAGTAATTGAGTACCGTCCATGAGCTCTAACTGTTACATTATCAAAAGTTCTAAGTGACTATGTCCATTTTCATGCTTGTATTAACTATTCAGCTTGTTTGGCTTACAATGCTATTTATTTCAGGAGTTTGATCACCTGATATAATGCAACCCTTGTGAGTCCAAGGCAATATGCCTTTTATCCATGTTTATGGTTTTTTTTCCCTATCTTATTGACAGAGTGCAAACTATGGGTGATTCAATCGATTTGACTGGTGATGGAGGAGTCATTAAAACCACTGTGAGAAAAAGCAAATCCGATGCTGTCGCTCCAACAGAAAATTTTCCTCTTGTTGATGGTATGCTTGTGCCAATATTGTTCATATTTTGGGACTAGTCTAATAATGAACTATATTACTTGGTAATCTTAAAACTAGATATAATTGCCAGCGGATGCAGGCGGAGCCTGTGGTGTGTGGCGGGGGACCACCACTAATGGGTTAAGCTAGACCTAGTGCACCTAGTGGATCCGACACCATGTTTCAATTCGAAACCTTAAGACATTGGGTTCATGGATCCTCCCACTTATATGCACTTCACTTAGCCCATTACCAACCAATGTGGGACTCATCACACTTGAATATTCCAACAGTAATAATTCAGCACCTTTGGGTACATACTTCTGTTGTGTTTTACATCTAGTAAAGGGACTGTTATCTTTTAGGTGCAGAAGTCATTCCAATTATAGATTCTCTTATCTTTTTATCATGAATAAAAATGGATAACTCTTATCTTCTATCTGTTAAGACATTTGTATAATATTCTTATTGAAAGCTTATCATATTGTTTTCAGTTTTCACCTGTGTTTTCACCATGAGATATAATTACTTGCATAACATAAGTATCTTTGTTTCAAGGTCCACTGTATTTTAGAGTGTGATAGAAAGCTTGTGTTGTTGGACGGTGGCAAATTGGCTTAGAATTGCCAAGAAATTTGGATATTTGCAAGCTAGAGTTTGGATATATATTAAGTTTTGATGCTCTAAATTAGATGTCTTTTAAGGTTTACTTGCAGAAAATGCTGGTTTTATTAATTCCTGTTTTTGTTAATCAGTTCATTATGAAGGCACACTTGCTGATACTGGTGAAGTTTTTGACACTACGCATGAAGATAACACTGTCTTCTCTTTTGAGCTTGGAAAGGGCAGTGTTATCAAGGCTTGGGAAATTGCAGTGAAAACCATGAAGGTCAAACAGAATAGGCTTTTGATGAAACTGTATTAAATAAGGGTTTTCATCTCATTGTTTCTGCTAATTTCACCAGGTTGGAGAAATTGCAAAAATAACTTGCAAGCCAGAATATGCATATGGCAGTGCGGGATCTCCTCCAGATATTCCTCCAGAGTACTATTCTCATTACATTCACCAAATATTTTGTTCGGAAACATAATTATTGTGGAAAAACGAATTTCAAAATGAAAGTTGTAACCAAGGAAGAGACCATTTATGAAGGTTTTTTTATTCATAGTAGTGTGAACAATATGAGTGGGCGAAGCAGTAGTAAGATTACTCCTTTGTGACTAGAAGGTCACGGGTTTGAGTCTAGGAAACAGGTTTTTAGCAAAAGTGCAAGGGTAAGGCTGTGTATAATCCACCCTCAACTCTACCCTCGCAAAGTCGGGGGCCTATGTTAAAAAAAAAAGAAGTAGTATTGACAATATCAACCTAGGATATACATTCTACTAATGTTCTTATTATTTTCAATCATACAATTATCATGTCATAAAGGGGGCGAACCGGAACAGTGGTAAAACTGTTCCTTCATGACTGAAAGTAAAAGGTCATGAATTCGAATCCAGGAAACAGCTTCTTTGCAATTATGCAAGGGTAAGGCTGCGTACAAAGATTTTCTCCACCCCATACTTGCTAGCCGAGTTTAACGAGGAGTGGTTTATACAATTATCATGTCGTAGAATCAGCCTTTTGCAAATGTAAGATAAGGCTACCTTCTGTAGATCTGCATAGCCACTGACCTGGATGCTGTGCATAGAGAGATCTTTATAGTACCAGGGAGACCTTTATGCATTTATTAGGCAAAGCCATGCATTAATTCCTTAATGCCTTGATTTGTTTCCTATTCTACTTTCTTTATCGTTAAAAGAACTTGCATCTACCTGTGACTGCAGATTTATAATTTGGTAATTCCCTTGCAGTGCAACACTTGTTTTTGAAGTTGAGCTAGTTGCCTGTCGGCCACGAAAGGGCTCCAGTCTGGGAAGTGTTTCAGATGAGAGAGCTAGGCTAGAGTAAGTCACACATTTAATACTTTACGAATTTTACATTCTTCTGCACATGTCCTAAAGTTGAGGTAAATCACAATTTTTGTTTGCTTTTGACATATCTTTTTTATTGGAAAGCAATATGATATCTTGTGAACAAAAACAGAGAGCTGAAGAAGCAAAGAGAGCTAGCTGCTGCTGCGAAAGAGGAGGAGAAGAAGAAGAGAGAAGAAGCAAAAGCAGCGGCTGCTGCACGCGTGCAAGCTAAGTTAGAAGCCAAGAAAGGTCAAGGAAAGGGTAAAGGTAAAGCAAAGTAGGGACTTATCAAACATCTACGTAAATTTGATATATGATGACAATCAAATAGTTATGTATCCAGTATATCCCTTCCCCATTTGCCCATCAAAAACAATGCTACATAATCAACATGCTGTGATATTCGTTAAATAACATAATAATTTTGATTGCGAGAATATTTTACTAGGGTTTTTGTCTAATTACCAAGACTACCTGATTTGTTGGGATGATTGCATAATGCTGTCTAGTGTTAAGGTTGCAGTTCCATTATTTTGAGTGTAATGCTATTTCTTTTTAGATACAATTGTGGGAATTGAACACATAATCTAATACAACCTATTTAAATCCCTTATCACTAGACAAATCCTAATGGCTTTGTAATGCTATTTGTACACCAATAAATTACATTTCCATGCTACATAACAATGCATTATGCTAAAATTGCTGTGTCCAAAAGATTGTTGTGTCCATTTTAAATTTTAATATTCCCGTTCATGAATGTGGAAATCTGATTTTGAATGGTATACCATATTCCCAAAAGTTATTAGTAAAATGGAAACACGGTGATCCAGATTTCGAACATTTTTTTGGTACAAAACCTCATACCAATTGATCAAACATGATTGGCTAAAAGAAAATGTATGTTCCGAAAGTTAACAATTCTTTGGTCTGTTGTTTAAAAAATAGGAATCGAATTTAGTTGCTTCGACACCTGTCCATTTTATTAATGTGTATTTAGTTCCTTTTAACACTGCAATACTGTAACACAGGCAAAACTGAAACCCAAACCAAAAATGTATTAAGCAATCTGTTACTTTCCAGATGTAAGGTATGAGACTTAGAATCCCATATCGTAAATATAAGATTTTGGTATGATTTATATAGACTTTGGATTTTTTGTTTTTTATTCTACAAATTAGCTTTTGGGGTTAGGCTTATAAGGTAGTTGATGTTCATGTTGATGAGTCTTGGTTAACGGTCAAAACGATTCGTGGAGCACTCGCGTTTCTTTTTCTTTTTTTTTGTGTGTGAGGAAATAACGTTTCTCATAATCTCATCTCATATTTGGTTACAGGCCGTGCCTCAGTAATAGGCTTTAGCACAATTGGATTCTTGTGAATCCAAATCGGGACATGCTCCCCCTTTCCCATGGAAGGTAGTTGAGGGATGAATTTTCATTATTAGTCTTACGTTCACTTAAATTAGAAAAAACATTACTCCAATCATTTTTCATTAGAAAAAAATCATGTCTTTATTTCTAATTTGAGTAGGGGAGAATATGTGGAGTACTTGAAATTTACTCGTGGTTGAGGCTGGAGATGTAAACAAGTGTCGCGAGATGAGTGTTTTAAATTCTTTCCTCAACTAAGATCATAAAATATCTGTAAGAACTATTTAAAATATTCACAAACAATATAATAGTAATTTTAGCTTGAATTTTTCAAAATGTCTAGGTACAGGTGTTAGATATTTTAACAGTGCGTTAACTTGTAGTTCTATCTATTAGGTAGTCAATTTCTTGGTCAAAATCCAATACCTAATTCCTTGCTGGTGGGTGTTCCTGTAGAATGTTGGGAACTTACTGGCATGTGTCAATTGCTTGTCCTATCTCTCTTTTGTTCAACCATAAGAATTTGCAATTGTCTTTGTCGTCATATCATTTTATTTTATTTTAAATTCTGCTAATACAAATAAAATGCAAAACTACACTAAATACTAATTCTTTATTGTGTCAGAGTGGAGCCCATCACACTCTTAACATTATATGTATTAATTAAGCTTTTTAGATGCAATGAGCTAAAGCTCGTACTTGTAGCTGAATAATTTTACCATTTTGTTTAAAAGCAATAGTCAGACAAAAATAAAAATGTATGCATAAATATAAAAGTCAAATCACAAGTTAAAAAAGCTAAATATGTAAAAACTAAAAATTCGGTTTATTTAACAAATGAAGCAAACTTTTTAACTTCTTAATAAACCAAATCACAAGCAAATTTACGAGCTAACTTGACTCATTACTAACCCTACAAGTGACTAACGAAAACACAATGACCAAAGGTCTCATTTGGTACATAGACACCCAATCCCATTCGGGAAAAAAGTATAAGGAAAGTAATATGTTGCACCGAATCTCTTAAAAAACTTTTTAAGAGAAGGGGGCATGCTATAAGAGTTGCACCGAATACAAATAAAAGGCAGAAAAACGTGTACATGCTATTTGGTTTAACACAGCGACCCAAGAAACTTCGTAATTTCAATGGGAAACAAATTTTATAACTTCTATAGTTGTTATACGGTATTCCTCATATCACTAAGTCAGGGTAATTACACGAATACTAGTCATAAGCCACTAGCTTACATACATGATGAGAGTAAGTTACAGTTATAGTAGATTATAATCACACGTCCATACATAAGTTTTAGACCATTCAAACCATGTCAGCGATATCATTATGTCCACTGTCATTCCACCCGGATCCTGCTCGGAATTTACAGACAGGGCAAGTCCCTTGTTGCCGCAGCCAGGGATCAATGCAATTAGCGTGAAACTTAGAAGAAGAAAAAAAAATAAACCAGGTGTCAGTATCACATTTAGATAAATAAATAAATACAGGGTAACAACCAGAAGATTTTTAGTAAATTATAGAATTATTCCTAAGATATTAGTCAATAATTGTTCATAAGCATGTAGATACCAGTATTTACTTTCCTAAAAACCCAAATGTTTTTGTTTACAATGACTAAAAAATAACAAAATACTTCAAAGAACTTTTTTAAAAAATGGTTTTAAAGATATTGCACCTTTACAAACAGTTTTTAGATTGATAGATGAAAGAAATTTTCGTGGCATATAAATATAAGGTTAAATGTTTCTTGTTGAGATATATAAAACCATTAATGTAGCCTCATCCAACAGCTTAAGCTTTTGGGTTGAATTGGTTCTTTACATGGTATCAGAACCTCGTGTCCCGGGTTCGATTCTCGCCCCCCCCCCCCCCCCCCCACCCCCACACTTTCTCTAGTGGAATTTCTTTCTTCGCACAGGTAGGTGGACCTGTGCATCGTCCACCCTTCAAGCCCAGTGGGCTCTCATGTGAGGGGGCGTGTTGAGATATATAAAATCATTAATGTAGCCTCATCCAATAGCTTAAGTTTTTGGGTTGAATTGGTTTTTCACATGTGCATCGTCCACCCTTCAAGCCCAGTGGGCTCTCATGTGAGGGGGCGTGTTGAGATATATAAAATCATTAATGTAGCCTCATCCAATAGCTTAAGTTTTTGGGTTGAATTGGTTTTTCACATTTCTCACGTTGTAGGAGATAAATTTATCTTTACACACACATAAAAGTTTGCGGAACCCATATTTTTTTTCTCTCTCTCTTCTTCTCTCATGGGCCTATATAAGCCCCACACTTTTTTTTTTTTGGTAACTGATCCTAATTACCTCTGTGAGGCGAATCAGAACCTCCCAGTATCCCCACGGGTTCGACTCTTTGAGCCGCCTATGAGACTAATCCAGAGTTCGGGTGCGAATCCAAAGATTACGGTACTTATGCCCCTCCCAGATGGTGTTGGTGGGATTCGAACCGAGGTCCTCTCCCACCACTCAGTCCCCATGCTACCAACTGAGCCATCACACTTGGGTAGAGCCCCACACATTTTTATGTATGTATAAGATAAACTTATCTCCTACAACATAAGAAACACTAAACCCATAATGATATACAATAAAAGATTTTGTTTTTAACTGCACTGCAGGTGCCTCTTCTACGGATACACAACTTAAGTGGCTCAAGCTCATAATGGAACATCCAAAGAAAAGAAAGTCTTCAAAAACAGAGACAAAGCCAGCAATAACCTATATATCCAATATCAACTGTAGCTGAGATTTGCAGGATTTCAACAACACTAGTACTTAGTGGCAGAAAAATGGTGATTAAAACTTCACATTTAAAAGCCTGCTCTTCCTTCTCATGGAGTTCAAAGTAACTATATTATTTTCGACTTCTTGCATGCACTAGTGACTCATGATCGTTAGCAGAGACGAATTGACAAAATGTATCATTAGACAAATACGAAACAGAAACTATTCGCTAAAAAGATACAAATTGGTAAGCTATGGAACAAACCTGATGCAAGCAGGGCAAGCTACGCAGTACGTCTCCAACATTAACTTGCTCCAAGCATACACTGCAAGTGAGCTCATCATCAGAGGCTTTGATGCTTCCAACTGCATTCGAATTATCTTGCTTCTTCTGCCACAAATGAAAAGCAATAAATCATGTCAACCTCTCATTCCACACTAACTGCTAATAAAATGAAAAGTTATACTATTTGACAGTAAGGAAAAATTAACAAAATAAATGTTGTATACTTGTATGATTCTTTTGTTATTTAAATCCCCCATGAGAACATCAGGCGGAGGACAATTCCAAAGACTTAGAATGAATAGACGCACAATGGTGGATGTAAATGATAACATGATTTCCACTCCCCATTAAACCTCGACGAAGGTTGGGTGAGAGTAATCATTGTGCGCAACCTTATTCTTACATAATTGCAAAAAGGCTGATTTCCGAATTTGAACCCGTGATTTTTCAGTCACAAAGAACAGCTTTACTAAATGATAATATGATATTCAAGAAAATAATGTAATGGCATTGACTATTTTCAAACTCCTCAACCAAGATAAATGGGCTATATATCGATATCAAAGTCACTGCATACAAATGCAGTTTGAGGAGTATCAGCATTTTCCCATATTGTTAGGAATAATGCAGGAAAATAATGCAGAAAAATAAGTGAAGTTCTCATGGGATGCAATGTAATTCACTTGTTCAGTCCAAATGAAGAGGGGGCGAAGTCCAAGGATATAGTTGATACCTCAGCAGAAGTGGAAGATGAAGCTTGTGGCATTGAGGAAATACTGCTGTAAGGAAAAGCAGCTTCTTGTCAAATATCAGTTCTATGACTTTTACGAGCTTATGTAGACTCCATAAAATTTGTAAATCAAGTAGTAATTTCCCATTTCAACAGGCATTTTAAGTAGATACTACTAGTAACTGACATGTGAAAATGTACTAATATATATATATATATATATATATATATATATATATATATATATAGACCCATACACACATACATGATATTCATGTCCTGTACAATTTCACATGTAAGTTGCTAGTATAGAAAGTATAGTTTAAGAAACTCTTCGCATATCATATAAAATGGCTACACAATATAGAGAAATAATATACATCGCTAAAGTTACCAAAAATTCTTGTCCCAAATGACATGGCAGTCCAAATCAGCATTTCCATTTCATCAATCAATAACAAAAGGTAACATAATTTCTTTACGTATCTTTAATTTTTTACCCTCATATGTATCTTCAAAATTTGATAGAAGAAATGACAATAATGAGCTGTATTTTTGGCTGCATCATTTTTGACAAAAAATTTACTGCAAGTTTTGGTACATTTACCATTACTCTTAAGAGTTTATTTTCTCTTTTCGGGATGAAAGCAAACTCTTAGGGATAGAATTATTGGTTTACGATATAAAAACCCATTTAAAGGGAGGATATAACTAGAGATCTGACTGAGTACTTACCTTTGGGGACCAGAAACCTTGTATTTGTGGACGGGAAGAGCATTTATCTCTTCTTCAGTCATAGAAGGTGAAGCAGAAACATTATCTGAATCCAGAGCTCTTAACGTTTCATAATCTGAAATTAAAAAAATAAAAATAAAAATAGAAGATAAGAATAATCTGTATATGAATATATTATATAACACATCAGAAGAGAGCACATATATTAACTACAATAGAACTGGTTTTCAGAAAGTTCTAAAGAATCTCATAAGCAGTAAAGGAGGAATTAATATCATAAAAAGAACTACAAAACCTAGATCATCAAACTCCCGATCAAGAAGTGCAAGCTGAAGTCTGAGACCCTGCAGACGCCCTCGGCTTGTGAGTGCTATTGATGGTGGCATATGCAACCGCAGTTCCGTGTGGCCAAGAAGGCCACTGGCTGCTGCCGCATGAGCTTGGGCCTGCGCTTGAAGCTGTTGACATGTTGCATACATCCTTAGCATTGTAGCCATCAAGAAAACACCAAGCACCAGCCAAAGCTACAAACAGAAAGAAGACCTCATAAACCACTTCAATAGTTTAAAATGTCAATTTTTTTTCATGAAAAACTTGCATGCCTTGTTTAATTACCATGACCTTACCAGAAAATTTGGTGACATTTGGTGAGAGTTCAGTATCATGAATAACAGGAGAACTACAACATAAAAGCAGTAAGTTAAGAACTGGATATTGAAGAAGATATAGAAAAAGAATTGATCTGCACCAAAAATGATAAAACAAACATAAATGAGAATACTAATACCTGTCACAAGAAAAGTGAGTGAATTGGAATTACTAGGACGTGCTGTATGAACACGCTGAAGAAAAAATTGGAATCAATATGAAGTTGATGTTGTTAAATAAACTATATATATGATAATGCTATTATTCATAAAACTAGAAAACACAGAATCAATAAATCATCACATATTTCAGCTATGCTAAAATATTTATGCTGATAATTGACACATAACGTACATACCAATGCACGCCTCTCATGTATAAATCCAGGAAACCCATTTTCCATATCTGCTCTTGTTCCTCGAAAAACAAAACTCATGGCTCTATATATTTCGAAATTTGAATCAAAACTTCATGGGTTGCTAGACCAGAATCAAACCTTCCAGTATTCTGAAATATAAAATAAAATTGTAGTCAGTAAACAAGAAATCAAAAGTTCAAAATACATGCTTGAGTGTGAAGATCAATACGATTCACATAAAGGATGAAATAGAAAAAACCCTAAAATTCCAGATAACTATATCAAGAGAGACTGCATCCAACATACCACATTCTAAGCCTACCAGGATCATCCCTTAGATCTCCCAATAGCATAAAAAAATATCACTTATCTGAAATCTTTACCATCAAAATGACATAACCACAAAAATAAACTAAGAGGAAATAAAGGGATAAATTTGGGCCAACCTTAACAATAAATAACTAGTTAAGACACATAACTCTCAAACATTTCAAAGTAATCCATGAACTTTTCAAATTGCTTCAATTACACATAGAACATGATCCTAAAATATATTTCACCTATTCTGTTTATTCAATGCAGGCAGCATTGATGAAAATTTATGGTTCCTAGCGTTTGGTACAACAGTTAGAAAAATATATTTTTCCCTGTATCAGACATAAGTAACACACCATAGATTAACGTATTCTAATTTTCAAGTTATTTTCCTTAACGAAATCAAGCCCTCCATCCATCTCTATAACAACTACCACACCCATCCACCAGCTCCAATCATCGGCTAAATAAACTTAAAGAATCAAACAATTGCCTGCCAGTTACTGAGCCTTAATCCATTTTCATTAAGAACACACCAAACACCAGAACCTTGGTGCCAAACCCATTCAAGCCTTACAGACGATTACACAATATGCAAGAATCCAATGGAGATACTCATGTAATCGAGGAAAACACGAATTAAGATAATAACATCAATCAGTCATATTCCCGGCATTAACCAGGTGCAGATCATCCACAAAATAAAAAATAAATAAAAAACCCTAGCTCAATCTCAAGATCACTTTAAAGGGAATATAAACATTAAAGAAACGCATCAAAAAGAAATCATTGTCAGAACATTTTCGATGATGAAAACCGAATCAATGCAGTGCGCGAAAGCCTCGACAATCGGAGAGAGAAACTTACGGAAATTGATGAGGAACAACAGCTGAATCCGATTGAGGCAGTGATCAGAAACAGCTTTTAGATTTCGATCGAAAAATAAACGTTGGATTGGATCTTCTTTTGTTGTACCTATCGATTCGATTCGAGGTAGAAGATCACGGAAACCGAGAATCGGTGATTTTTTTTTCCCCTTTTTTGATTTTTGTTAAACAAAAAAGACAAACCAGTGGTGTATGATAATCCCGCCACGTATTTTGTAAATGCCTTTCGAGAAGAATGGAATAGCTCTAAAAATAATTCACACAAAATACGATAAACAAAAATATGAAAAAAAATGAATAATAATTTTACAGTTAATTGGTTTGAAATTTAAATAAATTTTAACTTGTTTACTTAATTTGAAATAGCTTAATTTGGATACCAAAAAAAAGAAATAGCTTAACTTTAAAATTAAGTATGTATTTGAATTAGTTTATTTTTTATATAATATTTTAAAAAGGTTTTAAAAAAATTTATCTTTTAATCATCTCTGATAAATCATAACTAATTAAGTATTGAATTCATGGTAACAGCGATCAATCCAATTGATCTTATCTCACAATAATGTTATCAGCACAAATTGTTTTGATTTGGAGTTTGTTTTTCGCTTTTGCACCTTTTCTTTGTGACGTTTACTGGTACAGTGGTAGGTAAAAAATTTCTTTGTAAGGCACCAAAAGTTATACGTCGTCGTTTTGATCAGTAGCGACTTTTTTACAAAAACATTTACTCGCTAAGGCATTTTACGTTAATCGAAATTAAATCACAAATTTAGTAATATTTAGTACACTATTGTGGAAATTAAAAATTAAATTTGTTTCGGGTGAACACCAATGTGGAGTAAAGATGCTAGTAATTATAGCTATGGAGCAAGTGAATCAGGTGACTAGCAATGATGGATTCAACACCTCTAACCGAATTACCGAAGTCCGATGGTGCAAACAAAAGAGTGTGTACGAGAGATCTCTGAAACAGTAACTGCTATGAGACTTAGCAAATATGGTAGAATGCAATGAGTGTGAAATGTCTTCTTAAGTAGGGTGTTCATCAACCGATCCAAATCTATTCAATTCAAATCGCGGTGACCGAACAGAAAAATCGATAATCGAATAAATCCAAAATCGAAAGAAAACTGCAAATTTTAATTGGATTGGATCGGTTTTTGGATTGGTTGATGAAAACTGTTCCAATCCAAACCGATCCAATATATTAATTTCCCTCTACCTACTCGGGTCTTTCCCCAATCATAGCTAAAAAATTTCTAAACTCAAGAAAAAATCTAGTTACATCTCATAACAAAACTTTATCTGTGTAGAGTTTCATATCTCATTGTCCAAAAAAAAAACTACATTATCGTTTACTGGTGCTTTTGTATTTCAATTTTTTTTTTACAAAGCTAATATATACAAAAGATGTTATTTGGACAATAATCATGAAACAAATTTTATGATTTTCAAAAAATCGAAAACCAATCCAATCCAAACCGAAAAAATTGGATCGGATCGGATCGAATTTGAAAAAAAATTCAAATCGATTGGATGATTATATGATCAAACCGAAAGGATTGGATCAGATGATTTTTGCTTCCAAAATCAATCCAATCCAAATCGCGAACACCCCTACTCTTACAGGCACAATATGTGCATTTATATAGACTTTGAGTAACAATTATTGTGAGAGTCAGGAGAGTGACCGTGGGTAGTAAAAAAGGAAGTGAGGATCGTGGGTACATATACACCACTCACACTCATGAGCTGAAACTCTATCCAAATAGGCCCTAGCCAAGTGAGAAACAAAATTAAATTACAATAAGAATATATTGAAAGTCATGTAAAAAAAATGTGCAATAAGAAAATAAAAAACAAACTTGATTGAATTACACTAACCGAGTAAATCCTATCACAAAGTGAAAAGTTAAAATAAAATTAATTGATTAAACAAAAATAAGCACAAGGCAAGATTAAAACCAGTTAACAATATAAGCATACAAAACGTATTCTCACCAAAATAGTAGAACATAGACTCATCAAATGTGTTTTTTTGTTTTTAAATTCCTCAAACCTATTATCATTTTCTGAAATTATAGAAATATATTCTCACTTCCAAGTGTGGAAATATCATTTTTCATGCTAACACTATTACTACATCTACACGCTACACTTGTCGTGTGTACACATTACCAAACAAATTTGAAATTGACCGTGACACAAACAACAACAAATTAAAATTTAAGAACAAAACTAGTACAACTGATATTTACCAAACCTACGTGGCTTTTTCTTTCTACCACTGCACACACTCCGATCCATGACCCACCCATAAAATTAAGAGTTTGATATTTTTCATATTACAAGATAGTATGTTACGGACATAAAATTTTCTTTTACAACATCACTCGTCCTTAAAACTAATCTCCACAATGGTAGGGCCATAAGAAAAACAAAAAAAAATCGGACAAAAAAAAATCGGATCCAAGGTTAGTAAGAGCTAAGGACATATATATATATATAGTAAGAGCTAAGGACATATATATATATATATATATGGATTTTATAATTCTCATTTAACATGAGAATTATAATTTTTCTACACACCCTTCGATTTTCGTGCTAACATGAGTTCTACATATAATTTTTTCTAACACATGGGTCTCACATACTTTTTATCTTTACAACATAAGATTTCAATTCTCCTTCGACACGAGAATTATAAAACCCTATATATATATCCAAATCTAAGGACCCATTTTGGAACTAAGTCCACGTCTAAGGACCCATGCCTAATCGTTGACTCGCAAGTTCACACTTAGTGTAAGCAAATCCAACTCTAGAGTTGACCAAATCAAACTCCATCCACACGTTCTGTTGATGATGATGCCCAATAACATAAGCTTCAATTCCCAACAAGTCAGAGTTTCCAAACGTGAAACAATACACCTGATCTCTCCCCTTCGCCACGTCATCCACCCGATACAAGAGTTTCTCCCCCGACACACTCATCTCCGCCCATTCAAACACCAACGTCACCGCCGGTAGCGGCGGAAGAACCGACCCGACCCGGTAACACAAGTCCATGGATCCCTGGAACACGAAATTCGGGTCGTCAAAAAGGGTCAGCACTCCTTTCGTCTGGGCAACGAACTCTTCCCTCAAAGCGGTGTAAACCGACCCGAGAAGAAACGTGAACTGGGTACCCGAGTCCACCATGGTCTGACCCGCCCCGGTGTGGTCCGGCGAGAAAACCGATTTGGGTACCTGCAGAGCCTTCTGCCCGACCCGGATTCCCTCGAGTCGGACCGTGTATGCGACCCGGTCGAAGTACGGCAATGGGGTGGATATTTTGACGAGGGGCGTGTACTTCAACGGCCCAAGCCACGAGAAAGTGGCGTCGCCGAGGAGCAACACGCCGGAGGAGTGGTAGCCGGAGATGCAGTACGAGAATTTGGGTATACCCATTTGGTTCACAAACGAGAGCGACCCGCGGTTCATGCCCATTAACCCGGTTGTCTTGGAGTCCTCGTTGGGGTTAGAACTGAACCCGGAATCCATGCACCCGAATATAGTCCCGGGTTGTGCTGACCCGCCGATGAAGAACGTCTCGGTGGCGAGGTTGCCTTCGATGGAGGAGGCGTCGGCGTAGGAGACGGTGGCGTGGCAGAGTTTTTTCGGGTCGCAGGAAACGGGTATGGAGAAGTCCCGGGTTCGGGTCTTGCAAACGGGTGAGGTGCAGGGTGTGGGTGTGTAAGAGGAAGAGAGGAGTGGGTTGAAAATGGAGTTTAAATTTGGGAATTTTTTGCAGTGAAGCCATGAGAGTTCACTCCCTGTGTCGAGGACCATGGTAACACTCTGTGGGGGCGAGCCTACGGTTAGTGAAACTGTTAAGGTTACATTATGCTGGAAAGAGATTTTACGTGAAGAAGGTTTTGGAACTGAAACAGAACCATGTGGGAGTGTTTGGGCTTTTAAAGGCAATATGAGGAGGGTTTGAGCTGAAGATGAGACAGAAGAAACACTTGTTTGAATTTGAAGGAAAATGATGAAAAGGGTTGTTGTAAGAGAAGGAAGGAGGAGAAAAACAAGGGGAGAAGAGGCCATATTTAATTTGATTTGGAGGTGTCTTTGTTTTTTGAGTTGGAGCTTTCAAATTTCAATGAAAATTAAAATGAAAGACAGAGAAGGGGGTGATGGATTGTCCTATGAGACAGTCAGTGTATGGTGGTGAATTGTGTGTACTATCTCCAACTTGAATATATATAGCTGGAATGAACTTGAATCATGTCGTGACATGCAAGGTTAAGTGTACGATTTTGTTTGCTAGCCGTCTTCAAAATAGGTGGACTGTGTAGCACTAGCAGCAACCTTTACAATGATGATTATTCTTGTTATATGGTATTTGACTGCATTAATATCTTTAGTATTTTCACACTCATTTTATTATTCCTTATACAAATAGTGCATTATTTCATTCTAGTATTATTCTTCGGCAGAAAGTGCATTTTATGTTCTTAACCAACTCATATTATATATGGCACTGATGCTCATTAGTTGATTCCCCTAATGACATGATTAATTTGAAAGGTGAGCTAAAAAGAAAGGAAGGAAGAGAAAGTTTGATGCTGGCAACGCTTTCTTTAGGAAAAATATCTCTCTCTAGAAGGTACAACCATACCATAGACATAAAGTGCCGAGTTTTAGGAAAAACGGGAAAAAAAAGGTTCAGCTTTGGTGATATTAAACTGGCCTTTTAACTAGCTATTGACTCTGCAGCATTAAAAATTAATGCATGTTTGCATGTAGATTGAGACACCTACTGGCCTAAGTGTACTATTAAAGATGGTTTGAAATTTCGATAGACGCGCTTATCTCAGGCACGGTGATCTGTGAGAGCACTAGCGGCTAAACTGGGTGCATGCTGTATATGTTCTGTCAAGTCAATACAATATGGAATTTTCTATGGAATTTGCTTTTGATTGGCTAAGGAGTAAGGACAGAGTCTCTCGCTTGCATTCGTTGGAGATAATTAGATTGCGTTTGGATGATTTTTTTTTTTTTTACCAATATGTAGCTCTCTCTTTTTTTCAATATAATAGTATTTTTTATTTAATGTGTGCATTTGGATATAACTTAAAAAAAGACGTTTAATAATATATTTTTTTAATCTAAGATTCCTGACTTTTAAAAAAACAGAAATCAAAATTTAAATATCATGATCAGATATCCTTTTTAATAATTTTATGTATAATTTTTTTTTTATTAATCTTAGCATCTAAATAATTTTTATTTAAAAATTATGTGTATGTATTGCAAATGGATAAAAAATAATTCCCTAAAAGCCAGTACATTGTTTTAAGTAAGGATTACCTCTTTTAGATAGTTGCCGGCTTGATATTAAGTTGATTATATACTGGGATAAGATCCGTGTCAAATTAAAAGTTTGATATCTCGTGTAAGAGTGTTAAATTGAAAATGATCAATGAAGTCATATGTTTACAGACATTGATTTGATTACTAAAAAAAAGTCATTGATCTTTTTTGATCTAATGTCTCTCAGATGAGATATCAAACTCTAAATTTAATACTAGTGTCAAAGAATCCTATCTCATATATATATATATAGACACACACATTTGCCCCCCCTTAGTTTGTAGAAATTTCCAGACCCTACAATAGTAGAACTTTAGTATTTAGTCCCCTTTAGAGGTGAGGTTGTGAAGGAGAATAAAGGGAATTGTATGGGTTTTGATTCATTCTTTTCTTTCCTAGCAAAGTTTCATATTTAAAAAAAGTAATTTATTTTTCTTATGTCATATGAAAAGATTTTTCTCTCATGGTGACACAACACACATGTAGACTCACACATTTGTTGTGGGTCCCACATGTTTTCAATTGAGTCTATTTGTGGATTGTGCAAGCAAAAAGAAAAATCTTTTATTGCATAAGAAAGATAATCCCCTTCAAAAAAGTATTTTTTTTAATAAAAAGTATGAGCTTATGCTAGTGATCATATACTTTCTAAAGTTGCTTTCCGAAATAGCTATACAAGTTTTTTTTAGATAGTTTGATCATTCAAAATAATTTAAGCAATGAGTATTCTTATTTCACTCGCATACACATGGAAGGAAGATGAGTGAGAATGAATTTTGATCCTAAATTCCTACAATTAACTGCAAACGACTTTATTAATTGATCAATTAATTAGTACGTTCAAAATAATACTACAAGTTGCAAGAATATAAGCATTAAAATTGTATTTTCATTGTGATTATGATTGTGAGAATTTATAAATAAATAAATAAAAAATACCGTACCTTTTTCTTTTTTAAATAATTTACCAATAATTGAAATTTAATACGGTGTCTTTAATTTTTTATATATCCTATTTTACTCAATTTCATGAAATTTATACCTATAATTTACCAACAATTATGATTATGATTGTTATTTATTGTGAATTAATAATTAATTAATAAATTTGATTTGCGAAAATCTTAACCGTTGATTGACAAAAATCAACGGTTAAGATAAATTACCAGTAGGGGTGTAAATGGGCTAGGCTGGGCTTTGGCCATCCTGGCCCAAGCTCACGTCAAAAAAAATCTAGCCTACTAGCCTATTAAAGACTTTATTTGTAGGCCAAGTCCGACCCATTATCAAAAATAAGAAAGCCTTACATGGCCTACAGGCCTTGTAGGCCTCCCACTATATATACTAAGCAAAAAAAAAATTGTATAGAGCAAAAAAAGTTTCAAGTACTTCTCATAAGAAAAAAATGACAAACAAGAAAAAATCAACATAATACCTCAGCTCTAGAATGTATATCATAGAGGAATGGAGTCAAAGAAATGGGAAAAATAAAAAAAATACAATTACTGGATGCTGAAATAAAGTCTACAAGAGAATATCATTCATCTAAAAATCTTTAAACCACCATCAAGACAAGGGAAATAAGAGTATTATTGAAAGATCTTCATCAGTAACATCATAATCCAGCAAGGTATCCATTGCTCCATGGTATTAAGCTGCAACAACATGTAAAATTTGGAGACATTAGACAAGTTTTTCTTTCATAAAATAAAATAGCACAAAAAGTAAGAGATATTGGTATTTGGTACTTTGTGTCTTTGCCACATAAAATAAATATTATTTTATTATTTTATTTTAATAAATTAAATAGGCCAGCCTACAAGGCTGTAGGCCGGGCTTGACAAAATTGACCTATGACCTATTTATTAAAAAAACTTTTTTATAAACCTAAGTCTACTCTACTTTTCTGAAAGGCTAGACCTGGGTTGTGCTCAATGTAGGTCGGGCCGTAGGCAGGACCGGGCCAGCCTGACCCATTTACGCCCCTAATTACCACTGTAACACAAAAAATGGAAACAAAAGTTGTTGAAAAGGTTAACAAAGTGTGCAATTATTTCGAGGCAGACGTTATTAATAGTAATATCCCTCTCCAAATGGACAAGACTCCAGATATAAAACATTTCCTACTTCATTAGCAGAGGTGTGTCCTGGGAGGCTGGGACCTAATCAACCAACATCGCTAGGCCAACTCATATTGAGTTGAAAAGGTTAATTTTATCATAACATTGTAATATTGTCCATACACATAAACCATCAAAATATATAAGTCTGAGTTTTTTTCCCCTCCTCATATGGCCCCATATATATTTATGTGTATATGTAAAAAAAAAAATTATTTTCTGTAACATAAAAAAATTTAAACTCATTGTTGAATTAACAAAAATTGTCTAAATTATTTTAGTCTTTACAAAATCATACAATTCGGTTGGTGTTCCTACTATCCTTGGCACCCTTCAATCCTCCTCTAATAATGATGTTTGCTAAATTATGTCTAAACCTACTTAAATTCGAATTTGATGCAGCTAACAGTTTGGTAGCCAGCTGGTATTAGGATTTTTGGCATGACGATTCTAGCTTTTTCCTCTCACCTAGACCTACTTCTCCTCAATAAATGATTATGAGAACGAGGCTTGGGATGTGCTTCTTTAATTCCTAACAATTGGGGCAGAGAAAGAAAGAAAAACAGACACGGATTACAGATAGAAAAGTTGGATTGTTTGACTTTAATTCTATATATACCTTTTCTTCTATTAACGTATTTATTTTCTTTACTTTCTTATAAGGAAAATCCCACATGCACAATTTTCATAAAAATCCAATTTTGATGATTTCTTGTGGGAAAGCTTTGATCTTATAAAGACTTTCCAAATATCATATAAAGCATCTAGACACCATTATTTGTGTTTACAAGAAAATTTTAAGAATATACCTTAAGCTGCTTATTTGTGTCTTTTTAATAAAAAAATTATTTTTTAACTAAAAATATATTTAGAAGTTTATAACAATTTGGTAAACAAATTTAAAAGTAAAAATATTCAGAAATCTAGTATTTTTCTTAAAAATAAAAATTATCATAAAAACACCTTTTTAAAAATATTCAATACGCTTTTTTTTTTTTAACTGATCTTAATTACCTCTTTGAGGCGAATCAGAATCTTCTGATATCTCCACGGGTTCGACTCTTTGAGTCGCCTATGGGACTAATTCAGAGTTCGGGTGCGAGTCCAAGATTACGGTACTTATGCCCCTTCCCAGACCACTCAATCCTCATACTACCACACTTCGACATATTCAATACGCTTTAAGTTAAAAAAAATAAATCTCCCTTGTTGCATTCAAAGAGTCAAAGTTGTGATCAGAGCCAAACTACACACGGCAGTGAGTGGTCACTTCTTGTTGTGCGTGTTACTTATCCAAGTATACCTTACAACTTTCCATAAGAATAAGATTAGGGACCATCCAAGCAATCAAACTTTATTTAGAACAGCCCCTGCCTTATTCTTCCCTTTGAAAATTGCATATAACGACACACCCTAATATCCAGGTGTCGCAAACGAATCAAATTGAGACAAATTCTAATGCTATCTAATTTATTTATTTTTGGCAACATGGGCCAAGGATTTGATATTAATAGTCTAATATGACTCTTTTTTATCCCTTCCGATTTAAAATGATAGAAATAATTCCATTCCTTTTTAATGATACATTTTATTAGAGAAGTATAACATAAAATACAAAATAATTGCACCTACATGATGAACTTACATTTATCAAGGCACTGGTCTGCTGCAGAACAAATTGAATATTAAATTTGCTTCAGAAGAAAAAGAAAGAAGTAAAGAACCAAAGGGATTTGGTACGATTTCTTAATCAGGGTCAGCTGTATGCAGAGAGAGCCACGCAAGTTGATTCTTAGCAAAACCAACGCGGATTAATTAATACCCTAAACGTCTATTTGATGTTATTATGTTTCTAAAGATGTTAATCCAACAGAGCATGTTGATATATTATAAGACATGCTACCTACTAGTCCTTCCCATTCATTATTAAGCTCTATGATTGCTCTAATCATGCTAAGACTAAGAAGCAGCAAATTTGGCTAACTAAGAAGCAGCCAATTTATTAGGTAGGGTTTAGTGATTCTCTTTAACTTATTTTTAATAATTTTAAAATGACGTTATTTTGGATTTGAAAATATATATATATATATATATATATATATATATATATATATATATATATAATATGTTATAATTAATTTTAAATTAGTTATCTTTATGAATAAAGATTTAATTTGGAAAAGTTGTGTTGTTTCTTCACCCAACGATTGTGTTGTTTTTCCATCCGAATGAGTTTTTTTCAAATCGTAACTTTATATTTTTTATAGTAAATAGATAATCGTAATTTCTTAAATATGAGTTTTCTCCTCTCTTTTTTTTTTGTAGGATCTTTGCTTCTGTATTCTTCTACTCTGCTGCAATTGATCAAATATAAATTGAGTAAATTGAGTTTGATGAGAATGTTTTTTTTGTGAAAGTGCCGTTACAAGAACAGAAATAATCTAGTATATTATGGAAGATAATTATCCAAAAATCTTGAACAACATAGAAATGACAAATTATCTTAAGGACATAATATTTAATAGGGGCTCAGATTTTATTTTTCTATTTTATAATTAATTTACATTGATTTTCCGTTCATCAATTTTATTGTTGATTGATTTAAAAAAAAATCATGTTGCAGAAACCGACTTGATTTTGAAATTACAGTAAAAAACAAGGAAAAAAAACACTTTTTCCTATTATGTATTAGAAATAGAGGAATGTTATATTTACAACCTCTTTTCATTTACAATCTCTTACAACTATATCTTAATCGTTGATTTTTGTTAATCAACGATTATCATTTATTGTGAATTAATAATTAATTAATGAGTTTAATTTGTAAAAATAATAACCATTGATTGACGGAAATCAACGGTTAAAATATTGGTTGTAAGAAATTGTAAACAAAAATAAGTTGTATGTATAATCTTTCTTTTGGTTCTTATTTTTAAATTTTAAAGTTTGAATTTTTATAAACATCTAATTCAACACTTCAGCTTCCTTTTTTGTTATTCCACACCCTTTTCTTTATCTACATTTTCAACAAACTTATTTCTCAACAAAAATATTTCATATAAATTTGACTCAAACCATTTCAAATTTAAACTTTAAATTTTAAACTTTGAATTTTCATTAACATCTAATTCAACACTTCAGTTTCCTTTTTTGTTATTCCACACCCTTTTCCTTCTCTACATTTTCAACAAACTTATTTCTCAGCAAAAACATCTCATATAAATTTGACTCAAACCATTTCAAATTTAAACTTTAAATTTTAATATCTGTTTAAAAAGGATAAAAAGGATTTCGAGCGTTTAATTTAAAAACAAAAAATTTACTGTTTTTTTAACGCTTGGTTTGTACTTTTAAAATTTAAATTCTAAATTTGACTTAAACCAAAACTAACTAATTTAAACTTTAAAGTTGACTCACTATAAATTATCTTTCTCATTGTGGCAAGGAAAAAAATAAATCATTGTCAGAAAATATAGCCATATAATTCTTAACAACTTATACCACATTGTTTTGGAAAGACATAATATTAACAATTTATAGTGAGTCAAACTTTCTTCTATAAGGTACTGCAGAGCAATGGGACATGCCTTTCTGATTACCCGTTAATGTCTCGCATCACCTGTGAATCTTTGCTTGATATGCAGAATCGATTAGTGGTTGATGAATTAATGTTTGACAGACTTTCTTTGGAAGAAGAGCATAAAAGACTGATGAATTTCCTCACTGATGAGCAGAGAGTTGTTTATGACAAAATCATTTCAGCAGATAGAGCAGGTAAAGGAGGGTTATTTTTCCTATATGGATTTGGTGGTACAAAAAAAACATTTATTTGGAATACTGTTTCGGCATCTGTTAGATCAAAAGTTGATATCGTACTTAATGTTACTCCTAGCGGAATTGCTTCCCTTCTGCTTCCTGGAGGACGAACAACACATCCTAGATTTCGTATTCCTATTAAAATCAATGAAGATTCAACGTGTAATATAAAGTTGAATTCTACTATAGCTGAGTTGCTGTCAAAAACAAAGTTAATCATTTGGGATGAAGCACCAATGGTGCATAAATTTTGCTTTGAGGCTCTGGATAGAACACTTAGAGATGTTCTTCGATTTTCTGATCCAAGGTGTGTTGATATGCCGTTTGGTGGAAAAGTTGTTGTTCTAGGAGGTGACTTTCGGCAAATACTACCTGTCATTCCTCATGGCAGCCGACAAGAGATAGTTCATACAACCATCAATTCTTCTAATCTATGGTCCCATTGTCATTTATTAACGTTGGCCAAGAACATGCGTCTTAATTCTGGAAGTAGCACTCACAATTTGAAGGAAATTAAAGAATTTTTTGAGTGGCTACTTAAAGATGGGGATGGTGATCTTGGAGATGATGTTGACAGAGAATCTATTATAATAATTCCAGATGAATTGTTGATCAGAGAATCGAAAGATCCGATTTCGGATATGGTTAATTTTGTTTACCCGAATCTCTTGGATAATATTTTAGATCAGACGTTCTTTAAAGAACGTGCTATTCTAACTCCTAAATTGTCCGATGTTGCTATGTTAAACGAGCACCTAATGTCTATGATTCCTGGTGAAGAAATGACATTTTTGAGTTCGGATAAAATTCTGAAGCAAGATGTGACTTCCTCCGTTAAGGATGATGAATTCACACCTAAGATCTTAAATACATTATCATGTTCGGGGATTCCTGATCATAAATTAACCTTGAAGGTTAAAGTTCCAGTAAAGCTATTAAGAAATATTGATCAGTCGAGAGATTTATGCAATGGCACAAGATTGCTTATTACAAAATTGGGGAATCATGTTGTTGAGGTAATTGTTCTTACAGGAAGCAATATAGGAGAACCTGTGTTAATCCCTATAATGACGATGAGCCTATCATGTCATACATTTCCTATAAATTTCCAAAGAAGACAATTCCCCTTGATTGTTTCGTTTGCCATGACTATCAATAAGAGTCAAGGACAATCACTTTCTCATGCTTCAATTTATCTCCCTAAGCCTGTCTTCACTCATGGACAATTATATGTGGCACGGTCTAGAGTAAAGAACAAGCATGGATTGAAGATTTTGATACTTGATGAAAATGGTTGTGTTACAAATAGTATCCTTAATATAGTTTACAAGGAAGTATTTCAAATATTATTGTAGTATATTTGGTTCTGTCTACGAGGAGGTAACATCGTTGTTTGGTACAGGTAAAGACAAAAAAATAAATTGTAAGGGAGTCCTTTTTTACTAATCTTCGTTGCCATTTGGTTTGAAGTTCGATCTTTTTTAACTGCTGATTTATTATTGTCATGCAGGATTCGTATTTCATCCACAATAGGTATATTGTTCACTGCTATTTTTGCACAAACAGTGTTTCATGGTAATCAATAGATTGATGTATTGTTATAACACTTTTGCTTTGTACTCACAAATTCATATTTTATTTTTCATACTTTCATTCATAGATTGTTTATCATTCATTTCTAAAAGGATGAAGGATCACAACATTTAAATATTTTTTGTTCCCATGTTGCGTTATTATATTTATGACGCTTGACTCTATTACAGACATGTCATACAAAAATGTTGTTATATGTTTTCATCATCACTGGGAAATACTGAAAGAAGCTGAGTCGAACTTTGTAATTTTTGAATGACCACATGACAAGGTAAAATGCAGCAATATACTTGCATGTGTTGCGTTAGCTTTTACAAGACAAACAAACCGATTTTTTTTCCTCCGTGCAACGCACTGGTAAGAAACTAGTTATAGTAAAAAAACAAGAAAAAAACATTTTTTCCTATTATGTATTAGAAATAGAGGAAGGTTATACTTACAACCTATTCTCGTTTACAATCTCTTACAACTATATTTTAACCATTGATTTTCGTCAATCAACAATTATCATTTATTGTTAATTAATAATTAATTAATACTTTTAATTTGCAAAAATAATAATCATAGATTTACGAAAATCAACGGTTAAAATATGAGTTGTAAAAAATTGTAAACAAAAATAGGTTGTATGTATAACATTTCTCTTAAAATTATAATAAGGCAGAGAGAAAAGGAGATTTAAGAGTTATTGGTGAGTAATGTAAAAGTTTAAAAGTTATTGAATGATTGAAATGTATATAAATGCCCACATGCGAAAAAGATTGTCTTCGGCTCTTGTTGATACTCATGGCAAATGAAACAACCAGTGAGAATTGTCTTCTTTGGAAATGTACTAGAAATGAATGATTTGAAGAGCTCATCGTCATTCTAGGGATTAACACAGTTTCTCCGATATTGCTTTTGATAAGAACAGTTCTTTCAACAACACGGTTGCCCAATCTTGAAATAAGCAATCTTGTGCCGTTGCATAAACCTCTTGACTGGTCAATATTTCTCAATAGCATAACCGGCACATTAACCTTCAAAATTAATTTATGATTAGGAATTCTAGAACCGGATAAGGTATTTAAAATTTCAGGTAAGAACTCGTCATCTTCAATTTGAGAATTATTATCTTGTTTCAAGACATTATCTGAACTGAAATATGTCTTTTCTTCACCCGGAATCAAAGACATTAAGATCTTGTTTATCATAGCAACATCTGTCAATTTAGGAGTTAAAATTGCACGTTCTCTGAAGAATGTAGGATCCTTAATATGATCCAAGAGATTCGGGTACACAAAGTCAACCAAATCTGACAGTGGATGTTCTGATTCCTCAATTAATAATCCATCTGGAATTGTTGTCATAGAGTCTCTATCAATATTATCTCCAAGATCACCATCTCCTATTTTAAGGAGCCAGTAGGAAAAATCATTTATTTCCGCATAATTTTTAATCCCAGTAGGTTGAAATTCTAATTTACTTATAAAAATGTGTTGGAGGACCGAGCCCAGTTTGCCACCTCTAATTATTAGCATGTAATAGGTTTTTATGTTTATACCACAAAAAAGGTTCTTATAATTGCGTCTAGATTTTTATATTTTATCTCAGAGATGAACTTTCATTTTTTACAATTAGATTTACAAAATAATAATAAATAATTATTTTTTTTGTGTCGTTAGTATTTGTAATTTTATAAATTAATACTTACAAAAATTGAAATCTGAATTAGAAATTTAATTATAAAAAATGAATAGTAGAATTTTAATTTAATTATAAAAACGTGTTAGCAGGCGGGGCGGAGCTCAGTTTGCAACCTTTTTTCCACTACAGAAATATTAAATGCTCAACTTTTTTCTCACTTATCAAGTTCAAAATTCAAATTAAAAAATTTAAAATTTAAATATTAAATATTTTCTCACCCAATAGTAAATATTATTAATAGACATAATAATTTTTCATACAAAAAATAGTGAAAAATATCCATAGAAGGTTGTGTACTTTCTCCCAATAATAGCTTTTAGTTATTCATTCATGACATAGGATATTGTGTTAATTATACTCTTTCAATAAAAAAATGAAAGTTTAATTTCTTTCTTACATACTAAATTAAAACTTTTTTTAGAGTGATTAAATTTTTATAATTTGTTTTTTTACAGAATGATAGAGGTCATTTTTTATTTAAATTTAAATTTTAAATTCTTTTGTATTAATTATTCATTTTTTATATAATTTTTTCTCTTTTAATTTATGATTTTTATACGTTTTTTTAATTGGTTATACATGTATATTTAAAATGTTCATGTTAAATAATTTTGTTATTTAGTAATATATTTTTAATGTTTTTTTTTATGCAGCATTGATAGGGCTAACAATTATCCATGCAAAAAATAGTCGGATATACAACAAAAGAAAAGTAGAGATCTTTTTTACTCATAATATACAATAAAAGAAAAGTAGTGGGACATTAAATGAGCTGTCTGCCACCAAAAATCTTACAAAAGTTTTCCCACCATGACAAAGTTAAAAATTCAAATTCAAAATTTAAAAGAGTTGAGTTATTATTAATTTGAAAATTCCAATGTAGAAAGCAGTGAGACATTGAATGAGTTGTCTGTCACCACAAATTGTTCACTTAAATTTCCATTTATTTTGTTTCGATTTGAAGATTAAATTTTATATTTTTTAATTTCAACTATTTATATTAAACCTAACCATAATAATATATTTCCCAATAAATATTGTAAATATACTTAACAATTTCCATGTAGAAAGTAATGAGTTATTAATACAACTATCAACCACTAAAAAATATTGAACTATTTTTTCACCTATATCAATTTAAAATTTGAATTCCAAAAAAGTAGTGGGATATAAATAAAAATGTTTGCCACTAATTAAGGCTGAACTCTTTTCTCACATATATCAAGTTTGAATTTCGAAATTTAAAAAAATGATGAGGTTTTAAACATAAAAAAATGATATTAATGATAAAAAATGATTAAATATTTTTTAAAATGTTTATGTTAAATATTTTTAAAAAAATTACTTGTACGAAATTCTTTTCTCTTTTTGTATTATATTTTCAAATTGTTTTATTAAAAAAAAAAAAACATTCCAGAATATTCACTTTTTTTTTAAAGGACGTTGGTTTCAAGGCTAATTATGATAAATTTAATTAGAAGATGAAAAACTTCATATGCATGTATTATATTTTGGAATTGAAGAGCCACAAATTTCTCTTCTGGTTCATATTCTAAATATGAGCATGCAAAACAGAGCTTTCCAATGCCTAATTACATTGAATTAGGCTAGGCACTCATACAATAGGCACAAACAAAATGAAAAAAAGTAGAAGGATAAATTAATAGTGATAATTAAAGAAACAATTCCTAAAAGAAAAATTATTTTAAAACTACGTTGTTGGATTGCACTGGTCTAGCATCTAGCACACTTCAAATATCCTTTGAAGAAATATAAGATGGTTTTATGAGGGTCAAAGCAGTATCATACCTATCCAACTCATCACTTTCATCATCATTGTAAGCATATCTGTCAAGAACAGACATAAATTAAATAACAACAACAACAATGCGAAACAAATTATGTATGGACAGGAAGAATTGAAGGGAAAACTCATCTTACTCTTACAGACATTAAAAATAGAAAATAGAATGACTTTAAGATAAAAGGAAAATTTTTACCGTCTTGAATTTTGAGATGGTGCCCAAAGAGCACATATAACAAATAGGAGAGAAAAGGACAGAACTTGCCAAAAGACTGGGATGATCCACGCATTATTTTTAAAATAAATATTTCATTAAGCAATGAGTTATTAATAATTTGGAAATTCCAATGTAGAAAGCAGTGGGATATTAAATGAGTTGTCTGCCACAAAAAATTGTTCACATAATTTTCCATTTTATTTATTTACAAATTTCAATTTTATTTTATATTTATTTAATTTAAACTTTTACTAAAGAAAGAAAATTTTCAAATGACTTGTAGTGCGAACACAAATGTGAGACTTAAGGAGAGAGTGACAAATCATCAGATTTTCCAACAAATGGGTTTACTTTATATATATAATGGGTTTACTTTATATATATAATAGATAGATATATTATCATTGTTTTTACAAATGAATTATTTAATATTATTTTAATTTTATTTAACTTTAAAAATCGACGTAACAATGACTTGTTTTTTCATTTGGGAGACAACAATGAATTTAATTACATATGTTGTAGGCTTACTTTTTCTTTATTTTTTATTTTTTATTTTTTATTTTTTGGTAAGCTTTTTATTTTATTTTTTTAAAAGAAATCGTTTTAATAAAAGAAATTTTATTTTTAAAACCTATTTGTTTAAGTAAATCAGTTTAATAAAAGAAATTTTATTTTTAAAACCTACTTGTTTAAGTGGAATATTATTATTACTATTATTAATGAGCTTAACAATTACCAATGCAAAAAGTAGTAGATATTATTATGATTGTTTGCCACTAAGAGATTCTGAACTTTTTTCCCACCTATAAAATTCAAAATTCAAAAACTCTTCAGCTTCTACTAAGCTTCAATACAAAAGAACTTTTCCATTCTCCAATGAGGTTCAATAAATTTTCGCAGAACAATTACCCATGTAGAGAAAAAAAAGAAAAAAAAGGATAAACAAAGGATACATAATAAAAGTCATACAAAAAATAAAAAAAAATCATTATTTTTTTTGGATATACCAAGGATATTAGTAATTATGTTCGGTGTAGAAAAAAATAAAAAATAAAAAATAGATAAGAAAATGAAAGAATCTATTATAATATATCCTTTTGGTTATTATGAAGCCACAATTGCATGGTGCATATACAAATAAAAGAAAAAAAAATGGGAAGCAACAAAATCAAAAAACCAAAAGAGGGTAACTCATATCTTCATCTTCCACCTAATATACGCACAAACCGTTCTTCTTCTTCTCAACCTTAATTTCATTGATGATATTGGTTTCATGTTAGATT